GAGGTTTACAGTAATGTAAATTGCACAAATGAAAAACAAACTAGAATTTAGAGTGGTTCGGTCAATATGACCTACATCCACTTTCAAATTCCTCCTCCGACGAGGTCACCGGCATCCACTAAAGACCTTCCTTCAATAGGTGAAGACCGAACACCTCCTTACAGCGCTTTCTCCTTTTCCCGGGTTTAGGAGATAACCCTTACAAGTCTCACTCCTCTTTCTTGGATGGTTACAAGGCTAAGAGATAAAGGAAGAGAACTCTAACTTTTACAACACTTTTATGACTCAAGAATTCAAGATTAAGCCAATATTTTCGTGCCCTTTCATGCAGAAAAGGGTGAGATTTTTATATACTCCAATAGCTTCAAAATTACAGCCAAAAAGTGTCACATCCTCGGAATTCGAGGTACTGGTGGTACCATCGCCATTACTAGGTGTACTACCACTGTTGATCTGATACTAGGTAGTACCACCGCCTGATAGGGGTGGTACCATCGTTGGCAGCATTCACTACCGGCGATACCACCGCTAGCACCATTCACTGCCGGCGGTACCATCGCCCAGTCTGGGAGGTACCACTGCCCAGATATCCTAGGGGGCACTACTTTCCAAGCGGTGCCACCGTCAGCCAAGAATTCAGGGGTTGAATTGGCTAATTAATTCGGTCTAATTCAGCCTTGTTAAGGGCCAAATTGGCCCCTAATTAAGTTATTGGGATTATCTCTCAATCCTAACTTAATTTAAGCTCTAACTACTGGGATTATCTTGTTTCGGTGCATCAATTGCTCTTCCGACGAGCTTCCGACGTACTTCCGGCGAATATCCGACGAACTCTCGGCAATGTTCCGGCAGACTCCCAGCAAGCTCTTGGACTTTACGACAATTTTCTTGGTGAGTTCCGACAAGCTTCTTTGGCAAGCTCCTAGACTTCTCGGTTGGTTCCGACAAAACTTCCGACGAAAATCTGGACTTCCGACGAACATCTGGACTTCCGACGAACTCTCGAACTCCCAATGAGATCTTAATCATGACTCTAGCATAACACCTACTTTATGTCTTATTGTTATCATAGTTAATCCTGCACACTTTTCTCAACATATAGATTATATCAAATAAATTATAATTGACTTCATCATCAAAATCTGAGATTAACAGAAAGAACTTGCTATCTTGAACATTACCAAAAATTGCTAGCTTACCTATCTTAAGAAGCAAAAAATGCAAACTTATAAAATTTACAATCTTGCACATCTTTAAAATTAATGATTATTTTATGATTATGCATGTTGTAAAGTGATGAAAAAATTTGCTAGCTTATATGTTGTAAAACTTGCATATCTTAAAAATTGGCTAGATCCACTTCTCCCTTTTGTTGATTATAAAGGGGGAAAAGGTATGATGATAATCATGTATGGAATGATGTATTGAAATTTAGATTATACATGATTTTATGATGACATATTGCTTGGACTAATAATGATATTCATGATTAAATTTGCTTTGACTTGAATTTAATTTGAATTCAAGGTTCTATCAATATGACATATTGATAGGGTGAGTTAAGGCTAACTCTGTCATTAATTGGTTGTCATAATGGGGAAGATCATTGAATCTCAAATTTTGATGATGAAGCCAATTGATAGTATTTATCTGATCTACGTTTTGAGTGATGTAGGAAGCTTCGATCAAGGAGAGACAATTAAAAGTAGGAAGAATCATATTGGGCTGAAGTGGAACATGTCAGAAGATTGGACGTCGAGCCGGAGGATCGGTCGATGTATTGACAGAAGGCCTCAGGCCATGAGATCGGGCATCGAGCTAAGAAGAGCAGAAATTACACTAAGGAAATCGGAGTTACGGAGGTCAACTGGCCGATTGGGCAATATACCACAAGAGAGAAAAATGTGCCGAAGAATTAGACGAGGCGTCGATGAACCAATGACATGCCGGATAATATTTGATTGGCTTTGTAATAATTATCTAGTTTAAAATAGGTTTTAGGCGTAATTGGGCCAACTTAATTAGGGGCTAGTTGGGCCCAAGTTTGGGCTGTGTTGGGCTAAGTGAAAGCCCAAACAATGGCCCAACAACTGGAATCGTCGTGGCACAATCTCCGAGATTGTATCAGGCGATTGTCGCGCCCACACTCAGTCTCCGAGACTATAATACGATGGTATTGTCTAGATACAGTCTCCCAAGTGGTGGTATCGCCCAATGTTAGTGCTATAGGCTGTGGTACCGCCCAGCATAGGTGGTGGTACTGCCAGTATCCCGAAAACCGAGGATGAGACACTTTTAGGCTCGAAGTTTGAATCCACTTGAAGCGTATAAATATCTCTCTCAACCTTGGTTAACATACACAAGAATTGAGAGCAAAAACATAGAAAAACGCTATTGTAATCTTGTAAGAACTCCTCTCAAGCTCTAAGTATTAGTGTGGTTTAAGAGATGAGTAAGTGAGGGTATAAAAATTCTCTTCTGAATCTGTCAAAAGGAGAATCAAGTGTAAAAGGGTAGTTGATCTTCGCCCGTTGAAAGAAGATCGGTAGTGGAAGCTGGTGGCCTCGAGTGAAGAGGAATCGGGAGTAGATGTAAGTCACGATGACCGAACCGCTATAAATTAGTTTACATTTCTATTATCGTCATTTCCTTACTTTGCTTTCACTACGCTTATGAACAAGCATTCAATTTCAAGTTATCTTTCGAGATCAGTTTTAATCGAAACAAAGATTTTTCAGAATCGACGTTTTTATCCGCTACAGTAATTCACCCCCTTTTAGTATCGACTCGATCCTAACAATTTTATCATATCGGGTTATGATAATTAGTCTCATAATTAATGAGAGACTTGAATATAAAATAACTAAGATCAATGATATGTCATAATGTCGAGGTATTATTAGATTATATATCATGTGCATCATATTACACTTGATATGGGTTAGACTTAGCCTAGTTGAAGATGTCACATACTTGAATGAGATGCATTATAATATTTATTTAGTTTTACATCAAAAATGAACTAAGACTAAAATTAGTTTATGAGTCAAATAAATATATTATTATTATTTCAATAGTGATTCAGACTTAATAAAATTAATAGACTAATTATCCAGCCAGACATTGTAAATTTGAAGCAATAGCTATAGCATATTTAAGAATATATTTGAATTGTGTATTGTAGGCTCAAGTGTATATTTCAAATACGAACATATATTTGATAATTTTATTAAAATCATATTTGACTTGGATGTTGCATTAAATACTCAAATAGTGATACTATCTTAGAGTAATATTAATATTTCAATATTTGTGGAATGTTTTTTTTAAATTTTTTAAAATATATTCTATGATATTTTTAAAATTATAAGATTGCCATGATATAATAGAATCTAATCCTCATTCTCTCAAAATTTTTCCATCATCGATTCCTTCTCTCATAAGTTCACTATGCAACTTACTCCGTTGGGTTGTTTGCTCTGACGCACCATCTACATGCTTATCAATAATATTTGAGGTACGTTGAGATTGACTTGCATGGTGCTGAGGTGTCAAGTCTAGACCCTATGTCACCCATAATAACCTAAGTGTACGGTTCAAATTTCTAATATTCTCATTAGGCTCACCGAGCAAACTATGGTCAACATCAATGGTATGACATCAGTAAGTCAAAAATTATTAAACAGGCAGTCATTGTTTTGATACTGTATTTATGGTAAAAAAGGATGTAGTTGGATTATAAAATGTAAGATGATCAAAACCTAAATTATAGTTGACGTGAGACAGATCAAATTTAATATCACAAAAAAGAATATTTAAGAAAGCAACTTATGATCACCCTTCTCCCTTTATTACTTACGGCATTTGATGCTGACTTGGCTGCTCTTTGGTATATCAGATTGCTGCCATCTTAAATAGGAATAACTTGTACTCCGACTATTGAATTGGGCCCCTCCAACGAGAGCCAATCCAACACTCAACACCACTTAAGTGGAACCAATAATTCCACACATTTTTTTGATCTTTCCCATTGCAAAAGAGTGCCTTAACTGTTTGCGTTACCAGTCTTCGTCCAATTGGACCCATACCTAATCCCACCCAACTTGCACCCACTAAGAAGAGGGTGCATGTCCCTCTCCGTTTCTAAGGAGGCGTCGCTGTAGACGTTTTTGGTCTTCGAACTAGTTTGACCCCGCCTGCGGGTCCACTTCTTTCTCCAATCACGAGGCAGGTGGAGAACCGAGTACGACGGGGCAGCGGCCTCGTCGATCGGTCCCTTTGGGACTCCCGTCGGTGGGAGAAGTGCGAACTGACGTTTGTCACGCCGCCGGTCCACCCGCGTCTCCGACATGACAGGTAAGTCACTCCCGGCGGTGGGGCCCGCGTGAGTCACGCCCCGGCGATGTCCAGTCACGCTGACGGGCGGGGTCACTTTTATCTCCAACCACGAGGCAGGTATGAGAGCGGGTGGGACACGCGGCGGCCTCATCGATCGGTCCGTTTCGGCGGGAGTGCGAATTGACGTGGCGGTTCTGCAATACGCCGCGCCACCCGCGTGTCCGAGCTGACACGTATGTCGCTTCAGAGGTGGGACCCGCGACCCGGCAATATCTAGTCTCAGACTAGAATGCCGACGTACGGGGCCATTTTAAACTGTCACCGCGAGGCAGGTAGAAGCGTGGGGAGGAGCCTTAGCGGCCTGATCGATCGGTCCGATTCAGACTCCTTGGTGGGAGAAGTGCGAGCTGACGTGGCTGATCCGTAACCCGCTTTGGATACGTATGTCACCGAGGCCGCGGGGGCCGCGACCGTCACCAGCCGGCAACATTCAGTCTCTGACCGACAGGATAACGTGGCGAGGGTCGGTTTCGCCAACACGTTTGCCGCGACGTGATTCGTGACCTGGTCTCAGGACGATCGCCGCCTTCCTCCACGTGGCTGCTCCGCATTCGCCGTCGAGGCAATCCTTGTGATAACCCTATCTCTCGTCTTCCCTCTGCCTGCATCTTCGTCCTCTACGTGTCCTTTCCCACTCTCCTTCCCTCCCTCATCCACCCCCAACGCAACAACAAAAGCACCGGCACCAAATGAGATTTTTCGGAGTTCTTTAGTCGAGGTCTGTTGCCGCACAGAAAGGAGGATCGCCTTTGGATGTCTGAGCTGAGACATAAGCCACAGGTGAGTCACCCCTCCCCTGGAACTCTGCAGTACATACCGTAGATCACAGCTCTTCTCTATATCTTTAGATGGAGTAGCTCGGAATCTCTCAATGCTTTTTTGGATGATACAGGGGATTCCACCTTCTCAGTGGATTAGCAACGGTGTCCCATTGCTCGAGCTGTCTTTTCCTTCTGCATGCATTTATTGATTCTTGCTACCAGGTAAAGGATGGCGAATTGTGGGTTCTTTGACTTGTCTTTGGCTTTCCCAACTCCAACTTCTGTGTCGGAATTTTGTGTCTGAGGTTTCCTTCTTGAGAGAGAGATTCAGCAGAGAAGCTCAAGTCTTTCTTCAATTTCAACTTTTCAGGGAACATAAAGACTCCCAACTTTGGGAACATGGAATCTAAATGAAGAGTCTTCAGTGAGGATTGGTTATACGATCTTGCTCTTGCTTCATGGCGTGCCTGTTGCTACGGATGATTGCTCCTGCAGATATACCTGCAGGGCTTGGGTCTGCGGAAGCAATTCGAGAGGGAGATCGTTTCCCACGCAAGGCCTTCCGTCCAAGGAACAACAGGAATCTCTCGAGGAAGAGGCGAAGATGGAGTCTGCGATCACCCCATGCTGATTCCAAGTATGCTTCCTTGCGGTTTGATCCAGAGAGCGGGATGAACCTTCCTCTAGTATCGAGTCTGCTAACCAGCACAGCAGGAGAGGTTGCAGTTTCCGCAGAGCAGAAGGTTTACAACGTGGTTCTGAAGCAGGCAGCCCTGGTGAAGCAGCAGCCGAGGTCGAGCGCTGCGCTCGATGTGAAGCCAGACACGGTGATCCCTGGATCAGTGGGCTTGTTGAAGGAGGCGTATGACCGCTGTGGAGAAGTCTGCGCAGAGTATGCCAAGACCTTTTACCTGGGTGAGCTCCCATATCCGATTCGCACACTTCAATCTTAAGGCATGAAATCGTCACGCATTTTACATGAAATCCTTCTTTTAGGGACGCTGCTCATGACCCCTGAAAGGAGGAGAGCTATCTGGGCAATCTACGGTAAGCATTCATGACCTTTTAACGGCAAGTTCGACGAACCCCAATCTTGTCGGGAGGAATCCTTCCATTTTGGGACAGTAGTTCATATCTTATTGCTTCTTGTTGCCAAACTGATTCATTTGAGTTTTCTCTCAGAAATCAGAGTTATTTCTGATAGAATTAACAGTCCGATAGAATACGAACAACAGTTATTTCTCGCTTTTGGCTTTACCTATCTAAAAAATCAGGAAAAAAGATGGCATTTTCCAAATCCAAGACTCATAATTAAAGCTGGAGTAAATGCTTGAACTATCTAAGAATCATAGCAGGCATTTGCAGATTTCTTTACCAGCTTGTTAAAACTGGAGCAGGGGAACTCCCGGAGCAAAAGATTCCTCGAGTTTTTTGTGCTGCACAATACCGAAACATAGCTTAGACACTACCCTGAGGTCCTCCTCATGATTCCAAGAGTCATTACCTTTTTCAGTGTGGTGCAGAAGGACAGATGAGCTTGTAGATGGGCCAAATGCATCGCAGATCACACCAACAGCACTAGACAGGTGGGAGTCGAGGCTGGACGATGTCTTTGCAGGCCGGCCATATGACATGCTTGACGCAGCCCTCTCTGATACGGTTTCCAAGTACCCCGTTGATATCCAGGCATGTATCTGCCATACAAGAAGTGCAGTCTCTTTGCCGAGTAACGTGCGAGAAGTGTTGCCCTTGTTTCAATCTGCAGCCATTCAGGGACATGATCGAAGGAATGAGAATGGACTTGAAGAAGTCGAGATACAAGAACTTCGACGAACTCTATCTTTACTGCTACTACGTCGCTGGGACTGTCGGATTGATGAGCGTTCCCGTGATGGGCATCGCACCGGAGTCGAAGGCGACGACGGAGAGCGTTTACGGTGCTGCTTTGGCTTTGGGACTTGCAAACCAGCTCACCAATATACTCAGGGATGTTGGCGAAGAGTAAGTAGACATGATCCTCCGACTGTGGCTTTCTTCTTGCACGAGCAACATCAACTGACGAGCGAAAGCTTTTTTATCAGTGCTAGAAGAGGAAGGATTTATCTGCCACAGGATGAGCTCGCCCAGGCTGGGCTCTCGGATGAGGACATCTTCGGCGGCAAGGTGACTGAGAAATGGAGGAGCTTCATGAAGAATCAAATCAAGAGGGCGAGGATGTTCTTCCAGCAAGCAGAGGCTGGTGTGACTGAGCTCAATCGAGCTAGTAGGTGGCCGGTGAGTGGCCTTGTGCCAATGACTCCATCGAATGGCTTGTAGCTGAAAGCTTGTCATCTCATTGCCTGTTGCAGGTTTGGGCTTCTCTGCAACTGTACCGGCAGATCCTCGATGAAATTGAAGCCAATGACTACAATAACTTCACGAAGCGAGCTTATGTTAGCAAAGCGAAGAAGCTGCTGGCTCTGCCGGTGGCATACGGAAAATCACTCATCAGCCCATCTTCTCTGAGCCAGTCAAACTTAGCAAAAACATGAACATGATATGAACTGTGTGCCCTCTGCTACCATTCTGTGGAGTATGCACACACATCCAATATACATTGTATTGTGAGGATGCTAACAGGTTAAGTGGTGCCATCGAACTACAATATGCTGTAACTTGGCTCTTCCATTCTATTCATTGTCACATATGGTGTGGGATAGTGGAAGACGGTACGTTCCGATCGTAGAATTTATTGCGTGCATGTTCTTATCCTAATACTAATTCTGGATTCAGCTTATATGTTTTTTTCTTTATTTTTTATCCTTTTGAATAAAAAATAAACGGTAAAGACGTAATCTAATATGATATCTTCATAAAATTTATTGAACTAGATTTTGAATCCTCAATCCTTCGTAAATATAGCAGATCAATATCTTTAATGAAAATTTGAAGTCTTAAATCTTGATAAATGAGTATGAGATAAACATATCAAAGTGAATAACAATGCACATAATGACTTTTTTTGTTGGGTATAATGAGACCAACGATTGAGAATTAATTAGTATTGTATGATTCTATTTAATCAGATGAAATATGTTATAGATTTGATTGAGTTTTGATTATAGTTGTCGGCCAATAAATATAAAATTCACTTATGATAAAATTTTGTTTATGATTATTAGCCCATAGAAAGGAAATCCATTTATGATCTTGATGGGAGGGGTTTTCTTACTTTCTTATCCCAAATCCTCTGTGCTTGCATATAAATAGACAAAACTTTCTAGGGGTTACTTGCCAAATTTCAGAAGCCTTTTCGCAAATAGAAACTTGATTCAATTCATTTTTATCCAAAGCACAAAATAAAGCATTCATAACTTTGACATTTAAAGAAGAAGTTTTCTTCTCTAAATCATTCCATTTGTTCATTGGATTAGAAGACTTTTGAAAATCATTTTCAATGATATTCTATAAATTGAAATCTAAAGAAAGTAAGAAAACTCTCATTCGAGTTTTCCAATATATGTAGTCCGTCCCATTGAACATATGAGGACGAATGATAGAGTGACCTTCTTGAAAGCTAGAAGAAGCCATCTCTCTTTGGTGTTAAACCAAATAGAGAGAAACGAGGCTCTGATACTAACTATTAGGATCGAATCAGCATTAAAAAGAGAAGAGGGGGGAGGTGGGTGAATTAATGCTATCGTAAAACTTTACGTCGATTCAAAAATCTCGTTCGATAAAAGCCAATATCAGAAATGAGCTTGACTTAGAGTGTACGTTCGTAAGCATAGTGAAAGTAGTAAGTGAAGCAGTTTACAATGAAAGTAAAGAGCTTAAAGTAAATGCAAACCGAGTTTTATAGTGGTTCGGTCTTCGTGACTTACATCCACTCCTAATTCCTCTTCACTCGAGGCCACCGGCTTCCACTACTAGTCTTCCTTCAATGGGCGAAGACCAATTACTCTCTTACAACTCTTTCTCCTTTTCATGAATTTAGGACACAAACCCTTACAAGTCTCACACCTCCCTTGAATGATCTTAAAACTAGAAAGCAAGGAGGGGGAGGACACTTAGCAATTTTACAACCCAGAATAACAACCCCTTTCTGCTCTAATTCATACTTCCTTCAAGCAGGAATAGCTGGGGTATTTATGGACCCTAAATGGTTTTAAAAATTGAGCCAAAAAAGGTCTCATCCTAGGTTTCTCAAGTCCTAGCGGTACCACCGCTTGTGTTGGGTGGTACCATCGCCTATAGCACTGACATTGGACGGTACCACCGCTCAATCTAGCGGTACCACTGCTTGACACAATATGGGAGAATGTGTCTGGGTAGTACCATCGCCTAACATTGGGTGGTACTACCACCCAGTCTGGCAGTACTACTGCTTGACACTATTAGGATCAGGGGTCGGCACTAAGAGGGAGGGGGGGTGAATTAGTGCAGCGGTAAGATAATGACGGTTTAAAAACTTTCATACAATAAAACTATTTCCCACGTAAAATCATTTTCAGAAGCTTAACTTGAAAGCGAGTTCATAAAAGTATTAAAGATAGTAAGCACATCAAGAGGTTTGCAGTAAAGATAACTTGCACAAATGTAAATGCAAACAAGATTTTAGAGTGGTTCGGTCAACATGACCTACATCCACTTTTGGCTTCCTCCTTCGACGAGGTCACCGACGTCCACTAGAGGCCTTCCTTCAATAGGAGAAGGTCAATCACCTTTTACACCCCTCTTATCCTTTTACCGGGTTTAGGAGACAACCCTTACAAGTACTCACTTACTCCTCTCTAAATAGAATTCTAAGTTTAAGGCTAGAGGAGGGATCTCTCAAGTGATTTCTACAGCGTTTCTTTGCTTTTAGACTCTCTATGCTTGTGTACTTTACCTAGGGATGAGAGGGATATTTATAGGCTTCAAGTTAATTCAAATTTGGAGCCTAAAAATAACTCATCCTAGGTTCCCCAGGCACGGGCGGTACCACCGGCCAGTGTCAGTCTGGCTGACACTACCTTGGGCGGTACCACCGCTTGACATAGTCTCAAATACTGTGCCACGATGGTGAGACTCCTTGGGGCACCGTTTAGGCTTCTTATTGGGCCCAACACAATTCTAACATGGGCCTAGCTGGCCCGTAATTGGGTTGGCCCAATCCAAGCCCAATTACGTGCTAACTATGAAATCCTAAGACATTTGCTATGAAAACAAGTCCCTATGTCTATTCTTCCGGTGATCTTCCGGCGAACTTCCGACGGACTCCTGGCAAGCTCCTGGACTTCATGATAATCTTCTTGGCGAGTTTCGATGAGCTTCTCTGGCAAGCTCTTAGACTTCTCAGCTGGTTCCTCCAGAACTTCCAACGAACGTCCAGACTTCCGACGAACTCTCGAACTCCCAACGTAATCGCGTCTTTGACTCCGGGACTTCATTTTGCTTCATGCCTTGCTATCGCGTCTTTGGCTGGTTGAAATCTTTATACCTTTGAACTCCGGGACTTTATTTATCGTGCCTTTCTTGATTTTCTCCTCGTCTTCGGAGGAGCTCGATTCATCCCAATTTTTGTTCTTCTTCTTATGTTCAAAGCAAGTAGTTTTGTTATTTTTATTCTTTAATTTTTATTTTATTAACTTTTTAAATTTCTTAGTGAGTTTGGGTTCACCATCACTTGAGCTTATGCTCGAGTGGTCTTCAAATATTCTATGTCCCAAATCCTTCATGTTCTTTGGAATGTAGTTTTGTTCATCATGTGCATTGTGCACCATTTCATATGTCATCAATGAACCGATAAGTTTTCAAGTGGAAAAATATTTAAATCTTTTGTTTCTTGTATTGCCGTTACTTTCGATTCCCAAGTTTTAGAAAGTGATCTTAAGATTTTGTTAACGAGTTCAAAATTTGAAAAGATTTTATCAAGTCCTTTTAGATTATTGATGACATCCGTAAAATGGGTGTATATGTCTCTAATAGTCTCTCTTAGTTCCATACAAAACATCTCAAAATCGTGCATAAAAAAATTTACTTTAGAATCTTTTACACTATTTGTGCCTTCGTGTGTAATTTCAAGAGTGCGCCAAATATCGAAAGTCATTTCGCACAAAGAAACCCGATTAAACTCTGTTTTATCTAAGGCGCAAAACAAGGCATTCATAGTCTTTCCATTTACAGAAAACGTCTTCTTCTCCAAATCATTCCAACGGTTCATTGGAAGAGAAGACATTTTAAAATTGGATTCAACTATGTGCCATAAATCGAGATTCAATGAAAGCAAGAAAACTCTCATTCGAGTTTTTCATTAAGTGTAGTTCGTCCCATTGAAAAAGGGAGGACAAATGAGATAGTGACCCTCTTAAAAGCCGAAAAGAGCCATTTCTCTTTGGGTGTTAAACCAAATTAGAAAACCATGGCTCTGATACCAATTGTTAGCATCGGGGTCAGCACTAAGAGAGGGGGTGAATTAGTGCAGCGGTAAAAACTATATCGGTTTGAAAAACTTCGTACGATAAAAATCGTTTCCGACGAAAAACCGATTTTGGAAACCTAACTTGAAAGCGTATGTAATGAATTGAAGGTAGTAAGCACTTAAAGAGGTTTACAGTAAGGTAATAGCAAGGATAAAATGCAAACAAGAGAACATGACAGTTTTAGAGTGGTTCGGTCAACGTGACCTACATCCACTTTCGGCTTCCTCCTCCGACGAGGTCACCGGCGTCCACTAGAGGCCTTCCTTCAATAGGCAAAGGCCAATCACCTTTTACACCCCTCTTCTCCGTTTACTAGGTTTAGGAGATAACCCTTACAAGCACTCACTCTCCTCTCTAAACAGAAATCTAAGTTTAAGCTAGAGGAGGGAATACACTTATGATCGCAGCAGCGTTTTCTCTCTTTTAATCTCTCTATGCTTGTGTGCTTTAACCAGGGATGAGAGGGATATTTATAGGCTTCAAGTTGATTCAAACTTGGAGCCTAAAACTTTTCCATCCTGAGTTCCTCGGGCACAAGCGGTACTACCGCCTGCGTTGGGTGGTACCACCGCCTAGTGTCAGTTTACACTGACACTATCCTGGGCGGTACACCGCCTGGGTCTTCATGATGATCTTCTTGGTGAGTTTCGATAATCTTCTTGGTGAGTTCTGACGAGCTTCTCTGGCAAGCTCCGAGACTTCTCGGCTGGTTCCTTCAAAACTTCTAACGAACGTTCGGACTTCCGACGAACTCTCGAACTCCCAATTTAATCACGTCCTTGACTTTGGGACTTCATTTTGCTTCATGCCTTGCTATCATAGATAATCATGCACATGTAAAAACACACTTCGATCTAGATAATTAATACTAAGCATTTAATTAAGTTCTCTGGCATGTCATTGGTCTCTCAACGCTTCGTCCGATTCTTCGGCGCATCGTCCTCTCCTGTGGCCTATTGCCCAATCGGCCAGTTGACTCCGCAACTCCGATATCCTTGGCGCAATGTCCGCTCTTCTTGGCCCGATGCCCGAATCCATGGCCTGAAGTCTTCTGTCAATATATCGACTGATCCACCAGCCCGACGTCCAATCTTCTGACATGTTCCTCTGGCCCAGCATGATTTTTCCTACTTTAATTGTCTCATCCTGATTGAAGCATCCTACGTCACTTAAAACGTAGAATTAAAACATCAACATAATTATCAATTGGTTTCATAATCAAAATAAGAGATTTAAAAAACATAGTCTTGGAGATTGTGTCTTAGAGACTGAGCCTCTAGTGGTGCCACCGCCTAGACTGATGGTGTCATT